GTTCAGTGGGACCTCATCACAGTATTCCAGTACTTAAAGTGCAGCTACAAGGGGGATGGAGGCTCTCTCTTCACAAGCAATCACATGGAGAGGACAAGGAGCAACAGGTACAATTTGCACTGGGAAGGATTTCACCTCAACATAAGGTTTTTTACAGTGAGAACAATCAGTCATTGGAACAATCTCCCAAGGGAAGTGGTGGAGTCCCCATCACTTAAGGTTTTCAAGATGTGACTGGACAAAGTGATAGATGATCTCATCTAGGATTCCTTTCCCACAAACAGCTGGACCAGATGGTCTTTCGAGGTCCCTTCCAACCTGGTCCGTCCTATGATTCTATGATTCTGGTTCAACAGACTTTTGCATGGAGTCCCATGTGAATGAAGAACAAAACAACATGAAGAATCAGTCCCACATGGAGAACTAAAGAAGTTAATTATAAACGTAAGGAAAAGTCTGAAAGGATCACAGTAAATTTTCAAACGTATTGTAAGGCTGAGTATTAGAGGGGGTTTTTCAGAGTTTTCAGCGCCTCTGTGAACCTCCGCTCTCAGCAATTATTTTTTATGAATCTTAAAATTTCACCCATGGATTCTTTAATTCTTGCCATAAGATCAAATCACTTATATAACCCAAAAGGCCTAACATCGCATTACATACTTATGACAAGGGGGAAAAAAAAACAAACCCAAAAAACCAAATGTTGAAACCATCTAGATTTTGAAATTAAAAGAACTTTAAGGAATTTATTTTTAACATTGGCCTCTTTCGTAATGACAATGTACAGACTAGATTCTGACCTTTCAGACACTTGCTGTAATCAGAAATCAGTGAGGCAGAATTTGGATGACTAGTAGGTCAGCAGGGTGTATTTTTTTCATAGATACATTTCTTGCCAGGTGTTTCCGACAAGCACCCCAGGTGATGTTCTAGTTACAACACTGTGACCAAATTAAGTAATTTGTAATACAGAAGGTTAAGAGAGGAACTTATCCTGAAATATTACTCATTTTCTGCATGTTATTTACTCAGAGCTAGCTTGGCAGGTTACAACAAATATTTTAGTTCTATGCAAAATACAGAATCGTTTTGTGTCCCTGAATTTACATATGAATATGTAATATTTTGCTCTTTGAAACACTGAAGTTTTCACCTGAAAGAACTTCTCAGCTATTGGATGAAACTGGATCAGCTATCCCTCTTTCCATTCTTTTACTTGTCAATGAAAAAAATCCAGTACCACAGTAAAGGGTTTCTTCATTTAAAAAGAGAGAGAAAAGAAATAGTGTCAATTTTTTTCAGGTTCAGCTATTTTTATTTCAACAGGTCATTAAAATCTATATTTAGTTTACATCTTTAGAACTGATTGGAGAAAAATCTGATTTTATAGTTTATAACACAGGATAAGAAACAGGGCCTACCATAGCACTAGGAAATAACAGTAATCTGAGTAGCAGCCCAGAAACTGAAGATGATGCTAAGTAGAAGAAGAGACAGATAACAAAATGGTTTATCTATCTACACACAGTCCTCTCTCATATCACAATGCTCCTACTGATCTGCCAAAATCACTGACTGTGGGTAGGCACAGGCAGCAGTTAAATGCCATAAAGCACTAGTCACCTGGAATACATTCAAATAACTGACCTCTCAAAAATCAAAATCCAACTGTCAGCAGAAAATTAAAAAAAAAAAAAAAGTCCAAATAACTAAAAAAATTTATCAGGTGTCAGCTTTACAGAGCAAGGTGTCATGAACATCAAAAAAAGTTGAATTACACACAACAGAATTAAATAACTTACGTCAGTTTTAAAATGACTCAGAAAAAAAACCCCTACCTTTAGAAAACAAGCAATACACTTCTGTGGGCATCGGTTTTGCATAGATTACTTTACATGAACCCACTGAGAGGAAGTTCTGTCAGCAGCGAGAACACAAGAGAAGGGAAGCGACAAGAAAAGGCCATCTAGAACACCTAAGCTACTCCCTAAGTTAATTTTCAAGAGAGGAACAATAATCACACTACAAATTAATAGAAAAAGGCTGTTGTGGAAAGTGGGCTGGAGTTTAGCTGTGATCACAGTGTCTTATCTTTGAAGATATTAATCTGTTTCTCTCAGGGAGGGGGGAAAAGAAAAAAAACAACAACAACCAAAAAAAAAAAGAAAAGAAATGTCACAGGGGGAAAAAAACCCACACAAAAATAAAAACCAACAAACAACAAAAAAAAGAACAGGAATTCTTAAATAATTAGGGGCTTTGGCTAATAAAGCTAAAACTATTTTTGCAAGTTTTAAAAGGAACAGACAAGAATGATGACCAATTTGTTTACTTTATCTACCCTTCCCTCCAAGTGAATAATTAGAAAAAAGTGTTTTCTTCTGCTTTTACTATCACTGCAATTGAGAATAACCATTTTACAGAATTTGTGATTTTTTTACTTCTGCTGGCAAATTTGATAGGGCTCCACTAAAGAGATTATGAATGTAAACACTTTCTCACTCACAAAAGCAAGTTGTGTATCTGTGGTCAGTGCCTCAGCATATAACAAATGTTCTGCAGAATTTGAAATGGATTGCAGTGAAACAAATTCTATAAAATCTATTCATAAAGTTGCAGTTAAATTGAAATACACTGAAATGAATCCCATAAGTTCCTTGATGTAAATTCCATCTGTTTCACCATCTTCCTCTGAAGACTAAAATAATTTGACTAAAACAGAATCTACTTTTCCGTTTCACTTACACCAATATAACCTAATTGCTATACAATAGTAAAAGCCTAAAAGCAACTCCCAGATTTGATATAAAATAGATTGCATCCCCTAAAGCAAATTACTTATAAGAATTACAGTAGCTCTTTTTTTTGAATTATCAGTGTGTTGACTAACAGTACTGCATTTAAACTATTCTGACATCACAGTCATAAGGCTTCGGTTTTTAAGTTCGCAAATTGTCACCTCCTCTCCCCTCCTGAAGAGGTAGTCATCTTTTCACCAAAAAGTTGACCCAATGACGAAGAGAATTTTTTCTGTTAGTAAAACTGTAGGTATGACTACATCTTCTAAACCAGACTCTCAACAGTGCCTCTGAATGAAAATGGCAGCTTTGTCAACAAACTACACTTAGTCTTACAGAAATACTTAAGAAATAAGAAACTAAACCCTTGTTTATACCAGCCAGCGGGCACTATTTTTCATACATTTTGAAAAACTTCCCTCTAAGACAAACTATTATAACAGTATTGGGTAGAAATACCTCACAGGCATCACGTCATCTACAGGAACTGAAGTGATCACGTCAAATTTCTGCCCCATTTCAATCTGTAGCAAAACTGCTCCTATATGTGATTTTGGACAGTCAAATCAAGCTAACTGATGGAAACAAATATTCCAGAACACTCACAAATGTGTGAATCCACACCAAGAGCCTGCAGTCCCAGAAGTTTAAAAAGCACAATAAATGAGGAACTGCAAACTAGTTATAAACTAGAACAAAGATTGGAGTTAAGACAGCAACTTACACAGGAGCCGTTTTCATTGCATTTGACAATTCAAAGAGGTGCAGATCTTTTTTTCCAAAACGGCCAGAGGCCCTTCACCCCTCCAGGAGCTGCGTGCTATGCCACACCCCAGCTCCCTTCCAGTCTGACCACAGGGGAGCTGGTCAGGAACAAAATCAAGAATTTCATTGCAATAACCAACACAAAAGGAAACCTAAAGCAATGGCAGCGCTAAAATTTAGGCAGCATGTGACTTCCAAACAAATTTAAGCTTATGGCATTAGACACAAGTTCCAGTCACAGAAGAAATGTAAAGGTTCATCCAGTTTTTCCATGCTCCATTGACAAGCATATGACAAAATTAGAAAAACAAAAAGTAACATTTCCTTTCAAAGACTCAAAGAACCCAACCAGTAACATCTTCCAACTTCTGGATTTAGAAGTTGATTATGAATGATGCACAATGCAGCTACAGCACTCTGTTTGAAAACAGCAATGTGTAAAATTAGAGCCTTTCCTAGAAAACCTGCAATTGAGCATTTACCTCAGACGCACCATTGCAGTACATAACTAAATGCCGTCTTGTGGGTTTATAGGACATAAGTGAGTTTGATATAATAACAGGAAAAAAATCTTGCTCACTAACAGCAACTGAGTCACGCAAGAGTAAGTTTTACCTTCAAAACTTACACTCAAAATTCCTGAGCCAAAGCCATACAATTATCCACTAAAAAATTCCTTGAAAAGTAGTGTCATACCATTGACAATGCAGCAACAGGAACCTATGTCCACCAATGTTTTCAACATTGTATTACAATCTAGGGTATTTTTGTTACAGCAAGGACAGCTGTAATAATTGTACAGGCACACCTTAAGTACTTCAGGTGTTGATATTCCTAAGGCAGGGAGGACAAATGAAAAACAATCCAACAAAACACCCAACCCACACATGGCCAGTATTTGTTTTGCTTAAATGCTAAGGAACACTTGCCAAAAGTCACAAAGTTTTCAGTATGGTGGAGACCAAACATGAGGGAAAGAATGTGACACTTTCATAAGAGGCTACAAAATTCTACTTTCAGCTTTCCTATTACTGCAATGCAAAATACTTACACGGAGGGGCAAGGGAATGGGAAATGTTTATTTGATTGCAGATGTTCTAATGTATTAGGCAACAGGCAAAAATTTTCTAGAGAAACCAGTTTTCAATTTTGTAAATCAATGATTCACTATAAAGTTAGGTGCATTACCTCAAAAGAATCAAAATTAAATTTCAAGTAACAAAGTGAACCCCCCTAATATTTGCAGTCATTTTTCTCACAGTCCTAAAGGTTGTTTTATTTAATTGTTCAAGTTTTTCTTGTCAGCTGGTTACAGCTGAGAAAGCAAAAAGGATTTCCATTATTTTCATCCTCACAAAACCACTTCCTTCTGGCTGGTCAGAAAGTAAGCATCTGTTAGACAAACTTAAAATTTTTATTAAAAACATTATAACTTACCTGCTTGGGAAGCCGGAAGAGAGAATTTTTGTAAAATATATCTTTAGCCTGACTCCATGTACCATCGATGATGATCATCACAGATGAACTAGAAGACATCACAGCAATTTCTTCCAAATTGGTTGCTTCAGCTCCAGGATACAAAATTAAAGTATTGGGATTTCTGCACACAGCTGCTAATTCAGGATACCTTCAATCCACAGAAACACAAAATTACAATAATTATTAAAAGTTTTCACAACAAATACACGTTTTGAGATGTTTCAAGTTACTAACTCCCACTCATCTCCAAAATTTACTTGAATTTCAAAAGGTCCATTGCTAAGTTAACACTTCCTCTTTCCAACACCTTAAAAGTTGTTGGTTCTCCTTCAGCTCCTAAGGGGGGAGGAAAAAAACACCCATAAAAGTAATCAATGAAGAATATCTTTTAATCATTAGGTCTCTAATCATAAAATGCTTAGGGTTGGAAAGGACTTTAATATCATCTAGTTCCAATCCCCCTGCCGCAGGCAAAGACCCCTTCCACTAGACCAAGTTGCTCAAGCCCCATCCAGCCTGGCCTTGAACACTGCCAGGGACAGGGAAGCCACAATTTCCCTGGGCAGCCTGTGTCAGTGCCTCACCACTCTCACAGTAAAGAATTTCTTCTTCATTCCTAATTACCCATTACCCCTTTTCCTATTGCTACAGTCCCTGATGCATCCTTGTAGGCCCCTTCAGATACTGGAAGGCTGCTATGAGGTCTCCACGCAGCCTTCTCTTCTCCAGGCTGAACAGCCCCAACTTTCTCAGCCCGTCTTCATATGAGAGGTGCTCCAGCCCTCTGATCATCCTCCAATAGCTCCACGTCCTTCTTATGTTGAGGACACCAGAACTGCACACAGTACTTCAAGTGGGGTCTCAGAAGAGCAGAGTAAAGGGGCACAGTCACCTCCTTCAGCCTGCTGGTCACATTGCTTTTGATGCAGCCCAGCATAAGGTTAGCTTTCTAAAAGGTTGATGTCTGTTAGAACCAAAGCTGTCTTGAATTGTTTACCAAAATTTAATATACGTATTCTAGCAAAATTTCTTCAAGCACTCGCACAAAAATACTACAGTCATCCCAATTTGAACATTGTATATAGAGAGAACATCAACAATTCATTGTCCTTATGTATAGGATATTTTTGAAAATTTTACCATCTCAATTTTTTTTTTTTAATTACCAATTTTACAGTTACAGTCCTCTAACTTGTACACTCTCTTCTTCTTTCCTGTTGGCTTCTACATCTAGCAATAGTACCAGAGGAACAAGTAATGTCTTTAAAGTCTTCAGTGAATGTACACAGAAATTTCTGAAGTTTTTGCAGGACACCACTGTAAGCTTGTATATAAAAATCTATGAAAAGTATTGTTATTTAAGCAGTATTGGAAGCCTCAAAAACTACTTATTCAAGTAAGGCTGGTAATGGAGAATTTGAGGAAAGGCTGGCCTTGTAAGAAAGACTGCATTACTTGTCTTGAATCAACTTCAGCAGTATCATCATGTAATCTTTAGAATCGTCTCCATTAGAAAGCAGGAAGAAATACAAAGCAAAGGCCGTCTGAAGTGTGTGACAATGAATAAGAAATTAATTCTGCATAGTACCTCAGAGGTTATAAAATGGTTATAAAAAGTAAATTATGTGGGAGGAGGAGAAGAGCAATATATAGGTGAAATAGCGTGTGACTTTCTGTGCTCTGAAGTGGAAAGGGAAGCCAGTACAGCTAATCAGAGAAAATAAGGTGTATCAGAAGGAGGTTAACAAGAGCCAGCACACAAAGTGGGCTCTCCATGCTACCTATCAAGAACCAACAGGTGCAAGAGCATAGACACAGTCACAAGAAGGATGTCAGTATCTAAGTTCACACAGAGAAACTCCCAACTTTTAACTCCCAGGAACTGGGCACCTGCACCACTCCCTCAAAAATCAAGGAAGAATCTCCTTTCTTGCAGGGGATTGGAGGGATGGGTGGAGGAGGGTAAGAGAAGAAAGAAATGAGTAATAATAGGGTTTGAGTTTATATACACTAGGTGTACTTCAAATCTGTGCACTCAATTGTCACTCTCTGGGGATATATGTGAAAACACAATTTTATCAGTGTTGAGGCAGAACTGCAGAGCCTGAGACATACAGGTCCTGATCTTAAGACTCATATAGGACCACATAGGAAATATCTGAAACGAAAAGGGAGCTGCAATTAGTGTATCAGAGTTAATATTCTAGTATTACACCATCCTTGCTCCCCCAGGCAAACAGTCCAGACTGATTCAACACTACATCGTTCATGCCCCACCCATGGAGGTGTTCAAGGCCAGGTTGGATGGGGCTTTGAGTAATCTGGTCTAGTGGAAGGTGTCCCTGCCCATGGCAGGGGGGTGGGAATTAGATGATCTCAAAGTCCTTTCCAAGCCAAAACATTCTATGATTCTATAACTACTGTCAACATTGTTTACTTAAAAAACAAAAAAACAAAAAACAATGATCTTTCAAAATGAACAGTGAAAACAGAGACAGGAAACGTCAAAGAAGTACAAACAGAGACAGGAGATCTGTAAGATGAATCTGTGGCAAATAGAAGAACATGAGAATTCTCTGTTCAGTTTTTTTTAACCTTATTTACATTATGGTAATTTGGTATCATTTTAGTTTAACCTATCTCAGTACAGGCTACTTAGCACTCAAGGTTTAAATCTAGAAAATTGGTCATTATTTTCAGATGTTTGTTTTGAGAACACAGCTCCTTGAAGAGCAAAGTATCCTAATTATGGGATAGTAGAGCTTTCAAATCATTAACATCTCTTAGATTATTTTAAAAAAATAAATAATGAATTCTTAAAACTAATCCAAAACCATAACGATTATGAAGCACTACAAGTTCACATCATGAACACAACAACTCAAGTCTTTGTCTTCAAAATGCTATTCAGTTGAAAACAATTATTTTCAATGCATATTCATCTGAGAATTCCAGCCATTTCAGTTTGCAACAGCAGGGCAGCAAAGACAGTTGATTCAAACAAATTTTGTAAATTTGTCCCACAAGTTTAACCTAGGATCTGAGGGCTGATTATACATATACTGCTATAAGAATTTATAACACTTAACAGACTAGTAGGAGTTGCTGCTATCTTCAAATTGTTTACTATCCACAAACTCCATCCTAGAGCGACACCAAGCACATGCGAAAAGTTATTTAACACTCCTTCCTTTCACAGGAATGGGTTTTCAGAAATACATGCTGCACAACCCCTTCCTTCTAGGTTATGGTTCACACTGACATTTGGTGTTAGTAGCTTTATTAAAACATGTATAAAACACGCTTGTTCTTCCTTCCTTATTATAACAGCAAAGAAAGAATGAGCTAAACATAAATACCTAATGATTTGCTTAAAAAGGGATATAGCTTGTATAAAAGAAATCCAAAAAAAATTCCGTATGCATTTCTATACAGGTACAACCTATTAATTCCACTGCAGTTTTTGTATTTGCTAAGGTTTAAGGCTTTGCTTCCTGTTAGTTTGTTGCTGATATATAGTGCAATTACACTTTTTCTACTCACATACTACCACCATTAAGAATTTGTCCCTGAAAACAACCTTCGACTGCATTTAATTAGATCTATGAAAGAAATTAGAAGTCTCAGTAGAAGACTGATTTTTTTATCTGGTAAAGAAGAATGAATCTGTTAACTGAACAAATAGCTATGGCATTCAAAAGGCAACTACGTATCAACAATATCACTTTTCACAGCAGTTAGAAAGAACATGCTTCTGACATGTTTGCTTTGGGTAAACACTGTAATGCAGTATATTTAATCACACACTGCTTCTGAAATACTGCTGTAGGGCAGGATTTTCTCTACAAGAGTCATGTTTTTAAAGGAAACTTACAGGAAACAATTGTGAAAAATTAGCCATTTCATTACAATGCTGAAATAAGGCAGCTGCCTGCTGAGCTGCTGTGAAAACCTGATCCACACCCTATGTGGATCACACCCTATATAAGCTTTCACTTGTATGCTTAAGCTTACTACTGCATGTAAGTAAAAGGACTAGGAATTAGATTTCATCGTCAGAGTTTTACTTCTGGAAGTAAGTGCATATAATCCCACCCTAAATCCACATTCAAACAATGTTAATATTTCTATTTTTGTTAATACCAATAATGTATTCCATTGTTTAAGTACAAGAGTGATTTGAGATAAATAGTATGTCTTATTAAAAATACAGGAGACAATTTCATTAAGGCTGATGTTTGTATTCATGACGACTCATGAAATATTAAAGCATATAAGCCAGTTTTGAAACTCTCCTCAAAGCAGCAGCAGCAGCTCCTTGCTCAGTCCTGTACTGTCCAGGAAAATGTATTTTTCCTTTATCAGCCTGCCTAAAACAAGGGTGTGGTCAGAAACTTCAGTATCAGGTCATCTGGCAGTCCAGACTGCCTTGTTTAGAACGCCTAGGCAGAAATTTCAGACCACACACTAGATCACTGCCCTGGGAGGTAGATACGCAACTTCGTAGCAAGCCCCATCTCTGATGCCAAGTCCTCCAAATCGCTAAAAGGAGAGAGGAATTGCCTAAGTCTCACCAGGTTTGTAGCCACTCTTCTGTGAGCTCTTTATCACCTGGGGTGAATTTTGTTTGTTTGTTTCTTTTAAATTCAAGATGCTTTTATTTAAATTCAGGAGCACAATTCTGTATTCCAACTGTACTTCTCTATGTGGGGAAATTAAACCCAACAGAAACACAGAGGTAAGTTAGAAGACTGAATTAGAATAAGCACAAGGACAAGCTGGGAGCACAAGCACGAGCACTCACACCAGAATAAGCTAGTCCAAGCTCATGAAGGAACAGTTGACTATGATGATGGAAGAATTTCACGCAGCAGCTGCCCACAGTAAAAAAAAAAGTTATCTAGCTTTTCTTGCCATGTTGTAGTATACAGCAATACACATTTTCACAGTATTACACAGTTTCACAGTATTTGTGACTTCAAACATGGCAAAAATACTACATGCCTGTCATCAAGACACATAACTTTGGAAGTGCAGATGCAGAATGAAGGGGGATGTTTCTGCTGGGGACACTCATTGCTGTAGACAAGATAGCTGGACTGCATGGCTCACAACAAAGCTTTGTTTAGGAAATATCTCTGCAAATGA